AGACAAGCCAGGGAGCGGGAGAAGTCCAATGCCTGTAAGTGTGTCAACAGCCCCAGCAAGAGCAAGGGAAGCTGCGACAAGAACAAGTTGAATGTGTTTTCCAGGGTCAAACTCTTTGGCTCCAAGAAAAGGCGAAGAAGGCGACCAGGTTGGCAAGGGTTATGTCTTTGGGGGGTTGGTTTGTTTAAGTGAATGCAAACTGGCATGGATGTGCATCAGGTGTGGGGAAAGGGGGACCAGCGTCTCAGGGCTGGTAAAATGAAGGTGTGGGTATTGCTACTCCTGGCTTGTATGATCTGAGAGACATCATGGGTACCCCATGCCAGTCCCTGCCCCTTTCATGTTCATCTGGTTTCTTCGGATAACACACACCACTGCTATCTGCCACACTTGCACACCCGTGAGCACCCATGTACTGGTGGATCAGTAGTCTGGCTCCCTGTTACACACACACATATACAAACACACGTGATATATTTGTGGGGGAGATGTTAGCTGGGGAAGTTCTCACACATGTACCTCCTTCAGTTGTATGTTAAATAACTTGGCAGTGTAGAGATCTGGTTTTATCTTCCTGCTTCACAGACCGCCTGAGCTGTGCTTCATTTGCTAATTGCAGACAAGGCTTTTTGCTTTCGCTGGCACCTTCCAGAGTTTTGCTTCAGTGCCCTGTTCCTTTCTAGGAATCTCATGCATGTAGCAGCCCTGCAGACGTGATGCATCTGTCTGTGTCCGAGGGGCGAAAGATCAGGCACGAAGACTCAGTCCCTGATCTGAGTGGGGTTTTTGTACATGGGAGGAGCAAAACCCTCTGGTAATGCTGCTATCGCTTTACTGTGCTGAAACATTGATGCTGTTGGCCACTTAACCTGCCTTTCTCAGCAGCCACAGAAGAGGTGCCTCACTCTCCGTTTGCAAACAGCTTGGGGATGCATTATAGCTAAAAAGCCAAAGTAAGGGCTGCATTAATTTGTTGTCAAAAAGTCAATAGATAAGATCCATCTGTACCCTTATCAGAGGTTGCTAATAGGAACTGATACACTTCTACAAACTATTGTATGCTTTTGCCTTCAGTTCCTACTAAAATGAAGCACAGTAGCAGAGCTCCCTAATGTCTTTGGTTACAAACACGAGGAGTCTTATCCAGACATTGGCTGTTGGAAATGACACCTCGTATCTTCACAGTATGTTTATCTCTGGAGTAAGTAAGATGATGTGGAGCGGGCTGCGGAGGTGCATCACCTCCTGACAAGCAGAATTGTGTGCAATGACTACAATGCAGATGTCATTGGGATTCAGTGGAAGTAGAGCTTTTTTGCAATTACTCCGGGTGCACTTCCTAGATATCTGAAATGACAGACTTGACAGCAGGTCCTGTTGCTGTGTACTCCGTGGTCTAGATCTGAAACCGTGTGAGATATCTCGCTTTCAAACTGTGAATTCAAGGATGGTTATGATAAAAAGAAACCTATCCAAGCTATGCGTTGTTTTGATCCTTCTTCTTCTAGCTGACGAGGTAATTACCTCAGCCCTTATGGTAATATTTATTTTGCAGCTCCACACATTGCTGGTTTTCAGGGTTCCCCCCTCCATTTTCCATATGTTCATTGAGTAGTTTATCACTTCGGATGCTCTGTACTCTTCGGAGCAGCGAGGAAGGGGGGTTTGTTTATTAGAGCTGCAGCAGCTCCTGTGTTGAGCGTTTGCTGCTATATATTTAGGCTCTCAACTGTCACTATGGCTCTTATTAGTGCTATCGTAGTAGTTCTCTTTCCCCTCTCCATTTAAGAACTCACACCTTTTTAAAAGGCGGAATATGCTCTTTGCCAGCTCATTCCTAATCTTAAATGAGATAGGGCTGAGCTCCTGAGACCAAGCAGCACATTGTCGGAATTTGTATTCACTGGAAGTAGATTTTACTGTGCTACCTACCCTGCAATCGAAAGTGGCATTTAATCATTTTGACAATTGATTTCATAGCCATAAATTGGGTCTCCGAAATGAAAAGTGTTGCAAAGCCGGTTGCCCTGCTTTTGGTTTGGGTCTTTTTTGATCTCTCAGCCTTGAGAAGAAACCTGGAGATTTGGTTTTTCGTATCCTGCTCACTTGGAAAAACACATCAGGATTTCCCATATTAATCTCACTATTGTTTTTTTACAGAGCCTCAGCTTAAAGGTATAGTAACAAAGCTATACAGCAGGCAAGGATACCACTTGCAGTTGCAAGCAGATGGAACAATTGATGGAACAAAAGAGGAGGACAGTAGTTATAGTAAGTGACATGAGAATAAATGGTGTGTTTGTGAATTGTGGTGTCTCATTCCTCCCATCTAGGTCCATTCGAAACTGTTGTCCTGGGATGACTGAGTGAGTGGAAGCGGCATTAACACTGTGCTCACAGTGCAGAAACCGTCCAGAGTTACTGGGTCTGAGAAAAACACAATAAAAATCACTTTTAGAAATAATGAACTAGGGGAGGTAACGATGACACATACGACAAACAAAGCAAATGTTATCTCCATGGTAATCTAGAGAAGTTCCTTGCTGTCCTTTGGATTTTATTAGGGTTTTTTTTTTCCAACAGGGAAAATTTGCTCGCCTACTCAGAGCGCCTGAAATAGAATAACACTATCTCCACTCTTGAACAGGGGCTCATTCAAACAGAGCCGTGTTACTTCACACAATGAGAGCTCATCATTTTAAAGATCACATTTTGCTATTATTACTATTATTTTTTACCCCTTCTAAACTTAATTATACCTTCAGCTTTTGACCAGATTTCCTTCAGCTTTTCTGTGGAAAAGCTTTGGGTCTTTTGGGGTTCTCAACTTTTGAGAATTAATAGAAAACAGGAAAAGATGACTAAAGCATAGATTGGGTGTGTGTAAAGAAAATACTCGAGTGTTTCACATAGCTTACACTACCTTACTGTTCTGAAAAAGAGAGCTAGGAGGCACAAGGAGTTTTTGAGAAGGTATTTCAGGCCACTAGACAACAAACCATCAAATCAACAGGCAGATCTTCCTTTTTAATTGTTAGATTAGATTAATATGGATTTAAGTGCCATCATTTTCATATGAGAAGCATTTGCAGGTGAACCATCGTTTCATTTCTCAGGGTGGTTGAATATGGCAGAGTAAGTGCTAGATGCAGTAGGAAGTATCGTATCTTATTTGTCCGATCGCTTGCTCCCACCCTTCTCCCGCACCCTTTTTAATCCTCTTTGCATCCCTACGTTAACTTCTGAGCAGTGACAGGAGGGAGCTGGCTCTGCTGCTGGAGGAGGTCTCCTCTGCAGCCAGTGAAGGTGCTGGCATTAGGGCAGAGCCCAAGCACGGGATCTGCCAGGATACTGGTTCCAGGTCGCGTCCTTACCTGTGGCACAAAGACCAGGTCTGTGCGATGCTGAGCGACTGCTGCCATCTTATAGAGCTCTCCTCAATGCAGCTGCAAAATTTACTCCAAGGATGATCCTTATACACCTTAAATGCTGCTTTCCTTTCAAGTGAATGATCTAATATTTATGATTTTTAAAAGCCAGTACAACTCAGTCAGGATTTCAGGGTAATTCTGTTAATTATCTTAAGAAAGAAGAAGAAAGAGGCAAACCTTACTTTTTCCATCAAAGCATGAAAAGCCTGCTCTAAATCATTTTTTCATTCAAATACTTTGCTCAGAATCAAACCTCTAATAGGGATTCTGAGATTTGAAACAAGATAAAATGTATGGAAATACAAACGTGTCTGTTTCTAAGATATCTTTGGTTTCACTGTGTCCTTAAATTTACCATAACCTGGTAGATTACAGAGGAAATCATAAAACCTTCTTGTTGCTGGGTACCAGCCTTCCAAAGTGTTGAATACTTAAATATAATGGAATTATCCCAGAAATGGTTGCAGCTGAGCTGCAGTATCTAAGTGTTCCAAACAGAGGAGTGTTTTATCACAAGAAAACACATGCTTTTGTAGATACTCCTCTTTTATTTAAGGTAGATGTATGGACCTGAATGTCCTACAGTACTAAAATTATCTTAGTTGCAATATTTTTGGTGGAGCTAGTAAGACACTGATTTATGCTGTGGATCAGAGTCCGCCTAAGGGGCTCCCCCCAAAGCCTTGTTCCTATAAGTATTAAGTGGATCAGGCCCTCTAAAATCCTTTCTTCCAATATCTGCAGACACATCTCTCTTGTTATTCCATAGCACTGTGGGGAAGCCACAGGACTTGCAGCCCCCTCCAAACGCTGGGGAACTCCCCCTGCAGTCTGTTCTCTCCTCTTTTGTACCTCCTGAGGGAACTCATTGCTGTTGCCTTTTGCCACCTTCACTGTCTCTAAGACCATTTGCTTTGCAGTGCAATAGTTAAAACTCCGCTTAATAAGAGGAACATCCTCAAATACAGCTCTGGCCAATGCTCTGCAGCTGTAATTCTTAGAGCAACCCATAGCCAACATCCATCTGGTCTCCAGACAGAGCATTGCTCAGCCTTGTTTCACTTCACAATTATTCTTCCCGATTTGTGGTAGGGATGGGGAGACCTTGCAGCCCCCAAGAGCCAGCTTGCTCGTGACGGCAGCCTGGGGCCAGGAGTCCACCTTCTCCATCGCTTGCTACCTGGAACTGGCTAGGAAGTTTGCCTGAAGAACCCCTTAGGCTCCTGAGTTGGGAGCAATTATTTCAAGCTCTGCAGACCCACGGCTGCACGTAGGGTTCACAAAAGCAAGGTGGCATCCACAATCGCAGGGAGTATAAAAGCAGGCTGAGATTTTGGAGCACAGTTTAGGCAGGAAGTGAAATATGGATCTGAGGAGCCGTAGCACTCAGCAGAGCCTGGTTCTAGCCGAGAGTCCGTATGATTTGAGGAAGTGCCTCGTGGAAAGGATTTCCTGGCTGAGAAACAGATTTTGTCTCATTACATGTGTTAAATAGGGCAAGGTTTTAAATCAAGGCAGAATTTATTCCCCAATTTTGGCAAGACGAAGAGATTTCAAGACTGATAGAATAAGGAAATGTAGGACACAGTATCCTGCGGAAAACATAAGAAGGTCCAGGTGGCCAAGCCAAGGATGGCACAGACCTCACAGTAATGTATATGTTCATAAATCCAGCTGTGGTCCACTGCTGCTTATTTTTCAGCTTTAGTTCTCTGTCAGCTCGTATTGCACAAGGGCCATAGCCAAGATCATCTCTCCCTTAGGCACCAGCAAGTTTTTCATTGTGATGGATATTATATCCTTGTTCTAAACAGCACAAATGTGTAGGGA